AGACAAGAATGGCACTTGATCCCCTGATTAAGATAACTTGATTATGCTATGCTATGCAGATGAACACACTATGTACATGATGCCAATGCAAATGACTATGCAATTGAAACATAAACCTAGGTTAGAAAAGGTTGGGCAAATTTTGGGGTGCAACAAAAAGCTCCGAAAATGCTCTTCTAGGCCTTCTTCCCTTCACCATAGGTTCCAAGCATTATATATCAGCAAGAAGACCTGTCAAAAAGCACTAAAATGATTATAATTCATAATATTTACAAAAAAAATCGAAAACTTGAATATTTACACTAAAACTTATGAATTTACTACTAAAACACCAAAGAAACAATTGGAAAGGGACACAAAATACTATAAAAAATATGCACAATTTGGCCCTTAACAAATTTGCTCATCACTTTTATAGTAGCATAGTTCCACTACTCCCTCTTTAGCGAGATCGCGGAGAAAATGGAACATCACATTGACGTGTTTGCTTCTTCCATGTAGAACTTTATTTTTTGACAATTTAATAATTGAGTTGTTATCGCAAAATAGCATAACTGGACCTTGATGTGTACATATTACCTCTTCCAAAGTTCTTCTAAGACAAATACCTTGATAAGCATATCCTGCAACAACTATAAACTCTACTTCAGTTGTAGATAAAGTCACAACAGGTTATTTCTTTGAGGACCATGAGACTGCAGCTCTACTTAAGAGAAAGACATACCCAAATGTACTTTCGTGATCATCCAACTCACCAGCCTAGTCATTGTCGCTAAAACTAACAAGAACATTTCTTTCACTCTTCTTATAGAACAAGCCATAGTTAACAGTACCCTTCAAGTAGCGAAGTATTTTTTTTACTTCTTGATGATGAAGTTCAATTGGTGACTCCATAAATCTACTAATGAGGCTGACAACATATATTAAACATGGTCGAGTGATCGTCATGTACATTAGACTTCCAACCATCTGCTTATAGTAGGTATTGTCTATCTTCATTCTTTCATCATCCTGAGTCAGTTTAATTTTAGGAACTATAGGGATTTGAACTGGATTACAATCTTCTATTTTAAGTCTTTCAAATACCTCTTGAGCATATTTCTTTTGATAAATAAAAATTTCATATGCAGATTGGATCACTTCTATGCCAAGAAAGTATTTCATCACTCCTAAATCAACCATCTCAAATTCTTTCATCGTCGATTATTTAAATTCTATAAATAAGAATTCATCATTTCCAGTAAATATCAAATCATCCACATATAAACACACAATCAAAACACTGCCTTTTATCTCCCGTTTTTATGTAAAGTGTATGCTCATAAGGACACTTGTGAAAACCTGCTTTGCTGAAATAGGTGTCAATCCGACTGTACCAAGCTCGTGGAGCTTGTTTCAATCCATAAAAAACTCTTTTCAACTTATAAACCATACGTTTGTTGTCCTTCTTTACATACCAAGAGTTGTTCCACAAAAAAACTTGTTTAACAAGCTCTCCATGTAAAAATGCAGACTTGACATCAAGTTGAAAGACAGTCAAATTATTTAGAGTAGCCAATGATATGACCATTCTAATTGTATCATGCCTTGCTACTGGAGAAAAAACTTCAGAATAATCCACTCCATACTCTTAAGTGTACCCTTTAGCTACTAAATGAGCCTTGAATTTGTCAATTTCTCCTTTTTCATTCATTTTTGTTTTGTAAATCCATTTTACTCCCACTGGTTTTTTTTCCTTATGGAAGCTCCACTAACTCTCGTGTATTATTTCTTCCAATTGCTTCAATATGTAAATCCATAGAACTTATGCATCTTTCACTTTTAATTGCCTCATCAAATGAAATGGGATCACTACCAGTAAATAAGTGAGCCAACGTCTCTTCATCTGAAAGTTCTTCACCACTTATGTAATCATTCATTCAAACTGACCTTCTCCTTTGACATTGCATATTTTGCAGTGATGTTTCAGTATCTTCACTTCCATGATCAGATATGAGTTCATTTGATTCTTCCAAATTACCATGTGCATCCTCTTCTATTTCCGCACTTTCATTGTCTTCTAGTTCAATAGCCATTGAGTTTCCTTTAATATGGCTTTCCCGATTCTAACTGATGTTTTCATCGAAGACAACATCTTTAGAAATACAAATATTCTTTGTTAAATGATTGTAAAGACGATAAGCCTTAGACTCTTCACTTATGCCACGTAGTACATATTTCTCTCCCTTATTATCAAGTTTCTTTCTCTTTGGATCATGAACATGCACATAAGCTATGCAGCTAAATACTCTGAAGTGATCAACAGTAGGTTTGCGACTAAACCAAGCTTTTTCCCGTGTCATATCCTTCATAAAAAATGTTGGACATCGACTGAGAATATGAACATTCCAATTAACTGCCTCTGCCCAAAAGTTCTTCAGTACATTCTTATTTGTTAGCAAACTTCTCACCATATTCATGATGGTTCTATTTCTTCTCTCTAACACACAATTTTGATGTGGTGTGTATGTTGCAGTGAATTGTCTCTTGATTCCATTTCTCTCACACAAATCTACAAACTCGGTAGATGTGTATTCTCCTCTACGATTTGCTCAAAGGCATTGAATATGTTGTTTTGTCTCCTTCTTAACTCTTGCTTTGAATCCCCTAAACACTTCAATGGCTTAAAAAATTTCCTTTAGAAAATATACCCATGTTTTTCTAATAAAGTCATTAGTAAAAGTTATGAAGTACCTTTTATTGTTGTTTGAAGTTGTATTTAACAGACCGCATATGTCCAAGTGAGTTAAAGGACCTGATTAGCTCTCCAAGTACACTCTCGAGGAAATGATTTTCTATGGTTCTTTGAAATCACACATTCTTTACACACATGAGATGGATTTTCAATTTGAGGCAACCCTTTTACCATTTCCTTTTGCTGTAAGGTTCTGAGTTTATTAAAGCTTTAATGTCCAAACATGTAATGCCATAACTATGAAGGATCTGAAATAGATACTTTGAAACAAGTTTGATATTAAAAAGTCTCACTTTTTAGTTGATACATTTGATTTCCAAACATCTTAATAACAACAACTAGCCCCTCTTTTGGATAATGAATTTTGCAGATACCCTTCTGAATTACAACTGCACAACCTGTTTCTTGCAATTGTCACATGCTGATTAGATTGCTTTAAGCTCTAGTACATAATACACATCATCTATATTCTGCATCTTCCTATTCATGTGCACTTTAACAGTTCCATTGCCCATAACACTCATACCAGAGTTATTGCCAAGCTTGACACTCTTTGTCGGAAACTTTCATTTAAATCACAAAAAAGGTTTTTGTTACCTGTCATGTGATTGCTACATCCAGAATCAAGATACCAGATCTCCTCATTTTCAGCTTGTTCTTTCTCAGCGTAAGTCATCAATAGTATTTCTTCCTCATTTATTTCAACAAAGTTTTCATTTTCTTCTATTTTACTAGGACATTCCCATTGAAAGTGACGAATTTTGTGACAATTGTAGCATTCAATGGATGGCATGTAAAAATTTCCTTCTCTAGTGCCATGACCACGTCTCATTCCTCTTCCTCCAAAGCTTCCCCGACCTCCGCTTCTTCCAGAGAGATTTCTAGTACGAGTCACTTTAAGAGCTTGATGTTCCTCAATATGGTTTGACAAGCGTAATTCATGCAGTAACGATGAACTTTGTAACTCATCTACTGACATAGTATCAATGTCATTTGATTCTTCTATAGAACATACCACATAGTCAAACTTAGATGTCATAGAGTGTATAATTTTCTCTAAAATTATCACGTCTTCCATCTTCTCTCCATGTTTCCTCATTCAGTTTATGATTGTAAACGTCCTTGCAAAATACGCATCAACAGATTCTCCAGCCTTCATATGCATAATTTCAAACTCTTTATGAAGAGCTTTTAACTGAGCGCGTTTGACTCTACTAGTGCCTCGATACTTTTTTTAAGGAGTCTCATATGTCTTTTGCAGTATCCTTCTTGAGAATAGTCTCGAGAACAACTCGATCAATTGCTTGATACAAGTAATTCTTTGCCTTTAGATCCTTCAGTTTCAACTCATTTCTCGCCTTTAACTATGCACCAATCAGGGTTATTTCATCCCTTACTTATGGAATTTTGTCCTCTGTCAGCCCCCAATATTCCTTCGACTTCAAAAAATTCTCCATCAACATGCTCCAATGATCATAGTGACCATCAAGCTTTGGAATTGCTGACTGCATAAAACTGTCACTGCTCCCTTTAGTTGTCATTGTCAATGTACACAGAAGACTGCTGCTTCAGGTAGTCAGGCCCCTTGCAGAGCTCTGATATCAAATGTTAAATATCATAGAGAAAGACAAAGTAATATGAAGGAAAACATTTTCTTCTATTATTGAATGAAAATAAATGGCCATTTTAAATAACCTTATATCACACTACCACACGTAAACGTGGTATGAAACACTAACTTAACTTACTTACAAAGAAGAAATATCTTAATAAACTAAATCATCCTTAATTGATAGGATAACAAAAGAACCACACTTCTTAGTTAATGGGATTTATTAATAGAAAAGAAAAACAAATAAAATAAATAACCACTAACTTCAACATTGATTATCATATAAAAAACACTATATGTAAATTTAGACAGAGAAAATAAATGACATTTTATTTTGGACAAAAATAGATATTTTTTAGATATCAAAGATAGATTGATATATTTAACAAAGAATTTTAGGATTTACTATTTTAAATAAAATATAATTAAATAGCTTTGACCGAATTATTAATTGATCAATTAAATTTATATAACCATTGGTTGGGTTAGATTAATGCTAATTATATGAGTGACCAAGTGTTGCTTAGTATCCAATCCAAGACTAAATCATAACATAACAAAGAAAATCCAAATTAAGCTTCTTCTAAGATCTTTCAAATTGATGCATCAGAAAAAAGTGAAGTGTGAAGAAGACTAAAGAACAAGAAGAAGAAAATGGCGGAAGAAAAAGAATCAACGTCAATTCCTCTGAGTCAAGCTGATAATGTCTCTTGCGAAGATCCCGAAGATCCAGCTAAGTCTCCACCAACCTCTCCCAATTCTTCTACTCGCAGGGTACTACGATTTTTTTTTCCTTTTCCCTTTTCAATTTCTTCATTCCTCAAATTAGGGTTAAGTCAAGTCTTCGATCTTGTTTATTCTACTGTAATTTTGATTAGGTTACTAATAAGTCAACGGAAAGTCTTAAGCATAATGAAATTGACTTTATTAGGGTTTTATTTTAGTGGATGTAAAATATGGATGTCTCGGATTTATGAAATTCGAATCAAATTTGAGAGATAAGAAGGTTCCTATTTGCAGCTTTGATTTGTTAAGATGCTATGTGGGTTATGATCATGAAGTTCGTTTTCTAAGTTTTTGCTAAGATTTTATGGATTTTGACTGTTATTTTGCTCAGATGAGCTGGATTGATCAATGTACTGTTTCCCTTAAGTGTCCTTATACGGAAAAATTTATTAAGTTTGTTAAAATAGCATATGTGGAAACATATGACAAAGCGTGTTTTTGGTTATGCAATGAAAAAAATGATTTTAAATGAATTGATTCTAGGTAAAAGTGAGTTGAAGATAAGGTGATTTATGTTTGGGCAAATTTATGTAGAAGTGAGTTGAACAGTAATTTCAATGTAAAAATCACATTTAAACTCAGAAGCTACAAATTCTAGCTTTAAGTAGAATCAATTATGGAGGCAAAATCAATTCTACTTTAGAAGAATGATACACCTTAAATTCACTCCAAAATCAATTTTATACCTTTGTAATTGCTTTTGACTCTTCCAAAAGTTAAACTGAACATACACAGTCATTAAAAATTGAAGCACGGTTGTAGTTGTATAGTTAACTGCAGGATATGGGAAACCAAGGAATGATTCAATTTGAACATTTTTCGTCATATAAAAATAGCCATTTTGCTTTTTATGATGCAAATTCTAAATGATGACGATGGAGTTTACAGAAACTCAATCGTTAGCCAATATGCATCTATTTGGCTTTGGCGTGATATAATTTTGAGTTTCATATTATTTCAAGATAAAATCCATCTGTCTCACTACTGACTCATTTTGTGCATTTATTTCAGGCTTGCTGCTTTGTTCTTCAGAGTTGGGTCTCAAAGAAATTTATGACTGGAATGTAATGGACTAAACTACTTATCAAGATGACTAATTGTTGCCATTACTGTAAATCTAACTATTCATTTAATTTTGAACTTGCAGTGTTGTTCTATTCCCAGTTGCAGTTACCTTTTTTATTACATGGTGGTTTGTTCAGTTTGTTGATGGTTTCTTTAGTCCGCTATACTCCAGTTTTGGCATTGAAATATTTGGTGAGTAGTTTATTTTTTACTCCAACATACATGGATTTGACTATTATATTTGCTCTCTTGAGAAGATAAAACTGGGATGAATTTTGCATTGTTGTAGATGTCATAGATCCAAAACATTAAAAAGAGACAAATTGAACACAGTGCATATACTTGTCACATCAAATATAATAAGAAAGTATTATTCTTTCTTCTCTGGGTTTTTAGTGGCTAATCTGGGAACTTACAAAGCAATATAAATGGTAATTGTGCATAAGCTTGTAAATTCAATGATGACAGGTTACTTGATTGCTGAATAAATTGAGAGAAAAGGCATATTGTTTCTTACCAGGGGTTATTTGAATTGTAATCTAAATGCTTTAGAGGTTATGGTATCCTCACCTTTTTTTTGTAGTTCTCCAGTTGTCTCTTGTAAATTTATTTTCTCCAAAACACGTGTGTATGCACATTGCACAAGCATCTTCTATATTCTTTCTTGTTAATCCCTCTCGATGCATTGTATTAAGTTTGAAGGCTCTTGGTTTGTGGTGCAGGACTTGGTTTTATTACATCGCTAGCTTTTGTATTTGTTATTGGTGTTTTTGTATCATCGTGGATGGGGGCCACTGTCTTCTGGATTGGAGAATGGTTAATAAAGCAAATGCCCCTTGTCAGACATATATATTCTGCATCCAAGCAGATTAGTGCTGCAATTTCTCCAGGTATGCTTTTCATAACAATATAGAGATGAGGAATTTTGATATTTGCATGTTGGTTAGCTAGAGTTGTTACAATTGGAAAAGAATTTCTTTTACACGGAAAAGTGACCATTATCCTCCCGTTTTTTTTGGGGTGGCTGGTTCCATGTTTATATGTTGACTTTATAGAATGTATTTTATGGATTATTCTACAAGGAACTCATTTGAAAATATCACTTAGGCTCTGTTAGGAACGTAGTAGATAACACATAAGTGAGCTGATCAAATTGGAAGTGTTGGGTAAAATCTATGTCAATCGTGCCACTTAAGCATTCAATTGCGGAACTGCGGAGAGGTGGAACCGCTCACTGCAAAGTGTTCAGCCTGCAAATCGTGCTCATCAGGTGTGACGGTCTGGCCGTGAATTGCGGCCAAATCACAAGTTTATGTTTACACTTAGGTTAAGCATGCAAAATCCCTCAACTACCCGTCAATTTTAACTGTTGAGTTTCTTTTTAAGGGCATATCGGTTATTTTGCTATATTATAAGTGGCTTGTTTTTGGATCTGGATCCTCTCTAGTGAAAAGAAAAAGTAATGAGCATAAGTATAACAAATCTAGGTTATTCTCTAGCTCTAGATATAAGGTGATTCTAGTCTGAATATGGTGTTTGCTTTATAGCAAATGATTTCTCTATTTTAAAATTAAGACATATTAAAATTACTGCATTGATTATTATAATGGAATGCTTGGGGCAATTACACCGAACTTTCTTGGTAGGTTTCTTAGTTAAAGGAGTTAGAGTTACTTAGCAGTTGGGTGTTAGAATAATTAGAGAAATAAGACGTTTTACTATTAAATAGAAAGCAGGATTTAGAGTTGGGGCCTTTGGGCATAGGCAGGTCTGTCGGCTCTTGAAGATCTGAATTCTATTATATGGTTGACGGTGAGCAGTGTTATCAAATATCCGCTATGGCAGATATACAACGCAATTTTTGGGCTCGCCGCAATGGTAAATATTGGCCGATAATGTGGGGTTTTCTGCTATAACGGAGCTGCAATGAGGTTGATATGGCGGGATTTTGGCTCTCTGCCAGCAACACCACTGACTGTGAGGGGACTTACTACCTTAATCTTCTGATAAAATACTCGTTCCTATCAAAGGATGGCCGGCTAAAAGGAAATACTTTACTGTTTAGAATAGATCTTATTAGCTTTGACAACTTAAATGGTAATTGGTAGGTTGGATCAGTTAGGCTCATCATTTATGAATTAAAGGCACACTTCGAATTGTTTTCCCCTATCATTTTATTTTAGATGTAGTGATTTCTCGTAATTTTTATTTTCGATTTCTTTACAGATCAAAATACCACTGCCTTTAAAGAGGTAGCAATTATCCGTCATCCGCGTGTTGGTGAATATGCTTTTGGCTTCATTACATCAACTGTTACTCTACAGGTACTTTGAACACTCTATTTACTAAACAATTTTTAGGCTTCCCTTTTTTAATGCTGATAAATAGACTAAATAAAACTTTTGTCTAAGTAAAAGTAAAATAAAATATATAGAATGCAGGCTTAGCAGGGGGCACATAAATTTTAGCCTACATGTGAATGATGAAACACATAGAATACCAGACGACTCATGATTTATGTATATTGAATCCAACATCCATCATATAATAACAGGGGTGCTGAGGGATGCCATTAATAAGGGTATAGGTATATCTTACTGAAATTATTATTGCATGTCTGGAAAACTTGTATTATTTAGGATTGACTGCTGGGAGTAAAGAGCCAACAGGAAGGAATGATCTGTGTTGCAAAAATGAAAATGCTATGATAGATACGGGGTCACATAAGACAAGATTGGGAATATAATTAGAAACAGAGTCGGGGCATCTAAAAGTGATAGAGCCTCATATAAAGTGGTTAAGCATGTGTGGAGAAGACTTGAGAGTTAGACCAAATAGATGATAGTCTAAAAGTTAGAGGTAGATGGAGACCAAGAAAAATGATAGGCTAACTATTAAGAGAATTTTGGATTTAAATAATTTGTCATTAAACAGGTTTCTTGACAAGATATTATGGTGTTGTTTGATCCATGCATCTGACTTCACCTCATGGGTTAAGACTTTGGTTATCGTTGTTTAGGGTTCCTTTTTTTCTAATTTGATAGGAAGTAAACTTAACCGGTGGTTATTACTATATAATGCTTTAACTTGGCAATATAATAGATTACAGTATTGGCAAATGACATATATGGAGACATGATCCATCATTACAAGGAGTTCCATCATTAGATCAATGTTAAATAATCGCAATTATTGTAGCATTAGAAGAAAAGGAAATATGCTTTTGGAGGATACATCTGTCCTATATGATATCCTTACGCCCGTCCTTCATTAACAGACAAACCTGTGAGATTTGTTGCAGCATATAAATCTAATGTGTTTACATTTACCTGTGAGAGTTGATGCACCGTATACATCTAATGTGTTTGCGTTCTTAGATTTACAGCAGCGTTTAAGTCTAATGTGCTCTGTCTCGAGTTTATCCAGTATATCCATGATTAATGGTGTGCTTTATTAGAACCATTGTTTTAGAAGTTAATTTACAAAACAAATTTGGGTTTACACTTATTTCATTTTCATCTTAAAGGTGTCTCATTATAATCTCATTAGTGTTGAATTATGTGTATTCTCCATTGAATTTGTGTTGTGTTGTTTTCTGAGGTAACTACTAATTTCAATGCTTTGTTATTTATATTTGACTTTAGATTTTATCATTTTTCCTCCTTCCCAGCAAGAAAATGAAGATGAAGAGCTGTGTAGTGTTTTTGTCCCTACAAACCATCTGTATATTGGCGATATAATTTTGGTTAACTCCAAAGATGTAATAAGACCAAATCTTTCCATTCGAGAAGGCATAGGTAGGTTCTCACATTCTTTTTACCTCATCGATCAAAAATGTGGATTTTGCCATTTTACATTCTTCTTGAAGTAATCATTTTTAAACTATTATTTCGGTAACATTTTTTTAATTAATGACTTAACATTTATTTTGATGCTGATACAGAAATCATTGTTTCTGGAGGAATGACAATGCCACAGTTGATATCTCCCATCGAAAGAGTTGCTCGACCGAATGAACGAATATCTTTGAACAGAATTGGATAGAGGAATGAAGCCGAGGCTTAAGATTGATTTGTAGTTATCGTCCATTATGCCATGCCCGGCTGATATGGTGATGAGAATTATATTCTGAACCTCCTGTGATGGAGTATGTATACGAAAGTTGTTTAATATTTATAGTTTCTATCGAAGTTGAAAAGAGAGCAAGATACAATGTAGTTATTACAATATTTTTATCATTTTCTTTTTAATTTCACTTCTTTTATCCAATCGTTCATTCATTCTTGGAAAAATTAGGCCATATTTACGGTTGTGGGGGTTAGAGAGACTTTCTTAAACCACCCTATATGTTTTAATGTATCAAGCCAAATTTTATAAGTGTCTTTTTTTTTAGATACATCTTCGGATGTATTGATGTATTTTAATACATATATTTTATTTGTTTTAAAATACATATATTTTATTTGTTTTTGAGTTATATCTCTATTTTATGAATAAATTTATTTTGAAAACAAAAACATATCTCTAGAAAATTTTTGAAAATATTTTTGAAATCTAAGAAAATATAGTGTATCAAGTCACTTGCAGTAGCTTTTACTTTTAAGGTGCCCAATTGGAAGAGGCAATGGACCGTTGTTTTATTTTTAAGTTGCACAATTTTCATTCTCAATCTTATAATTATTGTAGTTACTGCTTTCAAATTCTATGATTACATTCTAATTAATACTATTATTTACCAATAAATTATAAAATCATGTTACATTGCCTCTATACTTTTAAGTAGCTTACATTATACTTTTGTTTTCATAAATTTCAAAAATACATTTTCGGAAAGTTTTTGAAGATGTATTTTGAGAATAAATTTATTCATAAAATTGAGGTGTGAAACAATAAAATATGTGCATTTGAGTGCGTTCGGAAATGTATCTTTAAAAACAGGATATTTTTAGAATTTCGCGTGATACATTAGAAATATATAGAGTGCTTTAATAAATTCCATTAGAAATATATAGAGTGTTTTAATAAATTCTTTGAATAGAATAGAATATTAGACTTTGAAAGGTTCGAAAGGTTCGAGTATCGCTTCCATGCTATTTATTGGTTTGACGTTCTCTTTCTAAAAGTTTGGCTCAACTTTTATAATCTATTTAGAAAGAGAATTTTTTTCCCACCTTTAAAATGTAGCTCGCACCTCTAAACGAATAGGATAACACCTTAATGACTCATAACTACTCTCTAACAAATGTTTACATGTTGGATAAGGTAATCGATTAAAAATGATTAATCCAATCAATTGGAGTGGTATGTCAATTAATTGGCTCATCAATTCTGTTCATGGATTAATTTCTTTTTTAATTTTTTTAACTCTTATTTAAACGAGACTCTCCTCCTCTTCATTCCATGCCACTTTTCAAAGCTTTACATTTTATTTTGAATTTTATCTCTCTATTTTCTCTCCTCTCTTAAAGAAATATTTATTTTCACTTAAAGTTGTCATAATGCTTTCGAGTGAAACTTGACTTCTATGGAAGAGTTTGTAAGTGGTCGTGTTGTTTGTAAATCTTAAGAGTGTGATTCTCTTAGATTGAGTTTGGTTCGTGAGATAAACCAACCATAAATTTTTGTTCTTGGTTTCTTAAACTTTGTCGGAAAAAATTATGTTTTAGATATTGAGATCACCATGAAAAACTCTAAGAATGTTTGTTAGCTTAACATGTGGTAAAAGTAATCTTTGGATGGAAATAAGTTTGTAAAAATCTAAAAAACAAATTGTATAAAGCTTCGTGGACATAAACTTCAAAAGATCAAAGTTCTTAGTCAAAACTCTCAAGAATATCTCTTAGGGATAGGACTAGGCCAACATTCGACCAAACGCAATCTCTTTAATTCTTGCTCTCTTTATTTTATTTTTGTCATTTACTCTTTAAAAACTACTAACATAATTTCCAATTTAATCGAGAAAAATACAAAAGTATTCGCGAATTTTAAATACCATAATTCACCATCTCTTATGCTTGAAATCACTTGTCCAATAAGTTATTGAAATTCTCTCGACTCATCTTCCTCATCCAATACCTACTATGACATGGGTAGTGGCGAGCCAACTTTTTATTACTGGTGCTGCTGACTAACCTTTTATTGTTGAAACCTTGTTTGTATATACATCTATCTTTAAATAAGGCAAAAGATGAATCAAGAGGTACAACAATCGACAACTTGTTGTAACTAGTGACAATAACAAGCGGGACAGACATAAGAGTCATGCCGAAGAAGAAGGGACGAAAAAAGTTCTAAATCTTCTGGATCCGACACCGTTGGGATCATTCTTGATGTCTCTAAAGTGATTCCTCCATAATTTCTAGCTATTTTCCCTCCTCGAGTGTCTCAAAACTTCTCAAGAGGCACAATCTTGTTTCATTGAGCAAGATGTCGCCTACATCCAAAGCTCTTTAATACTAGAAAATTGAAGTTAATGGCAGAAAATGTAATAACCGACTTAATTAGCCTTTTATTTAATTATTTATTTTATTTAATTAATTAAATTATTTAAATAACTATTTTATGTGATTTATGACGTGTTTGATTGGTGTCGGCATTTGTGGTGAATTTTGCTTATTTAATTAGTTTTTGTGGGATTTAATTAATTAAATTAATAGAAATTGAGAGAATAAAGTTGGGGTCAAAAGTAAAATAATAGAAATTGAGGTGGTTAATAATAAAAAACTTATGTTTAGCTGGGCCAAAATTATAATTTAGAGAAGTAATTAGGTTATTATATATTTAGAGAATTAGAACAAATAGGGGTTTTAGAGCATTTTGACAGAACGTGAAAAGAGAAGGTTAGAGAGCAAGAGCTTTTGAAGAGAGAGTTATGGATTTGGGAAGGAGATCACATATAAGGTTGATTTTCTTGGAATTACAAGGTATGAGAGGATTATTCATCTAAGGGTGCCTTAATCATGATAAGGTAGAGAAGTTTCTCTTAACTTCGAATAAGGTTTTTCTTTTTTTATTCATTGATGATAATCTGATAAATGATGAGTGTGATTATGTTTTATACCATGAGCTGATGAGGAATTTGTATTTGGTGTCGTGTTACTTCATGTTCATGAGTTAATTGATTAGATGATGAACTGTGTTGTAATTGGGTGTTTTAGGGTATGAACACAATTGAGTAATTCATAATAAAAGTGTTAGATTAGTGTTAATTAGTGAGTATTTGATGTGTTGGTCATAGTTGATTATGTATTTGTTGTGTTTTGAATGTTATAATGAAGGTTGGGATGAAGTATGGGGGATGAGAGATGAAAAAGATGAAGTACGTGTGAGAAAAAAAGAGATTTTTGCATTATGCGCTGATGTCAATCAATTAACACCATATGTCAATAGATTGCATGCATTAACAATGACAATCGATTAATACAAGGAATCAATCGATTGCATGCGTTAATAATGACAATCGATTAATACAAGGAATCAATCGATTGCAAGCAGGCAAAACGTGAAAAATTGGGAAGTAAAAGGTTTGATGTCAATCGATTGATGCTAGCCAATTTTTGAATTTTTTTTAATTGAATCATGTTTTATTACCCGACTATTTTTGCCGTAACTTTAGTTCCGTAATCTCAAATGAGGTATCGGTTGAAGTGTTGGAGAGCTAACATGCGGAGCTACCTCATGGTAGTGCCTTGTGAGATAATTGATGTTTGAACGTATGTTCAATGTGTGAATTTATGTCATGAATTGTATATATAATTGTGTGAAATATTGTACATGCTTGCTGGTGATTGATGAGATGAGTGGTTCAAAGTGAGAACTACTCGTAATGTGTTCAATGAAGGTGCGAGAAACACAAAAAAGGGGGGTTTGAATTGGGTTTCACCCCATTATGATCTTTTCAAACTTTTATCCACCATAGTTAATAAAGAGAAAGAAGATAAAGAACACAATCATTTTTATTCTGGTTTGCTGTTAACTAAGTTACTCCAGTCCACCCGCCAAGGTGATTTCGCCTTCAAAAAGGACTTAATCTAATAATCTAGAAAAATTACAAAAAGTTCGTCTAACTATTTAGAAAAACACTTTATCTCTCTCAAGTCAATAGACTAACACTTAGTCACTTGAGGAAAATTTAACTCAAAATAGATTACATATGTGTATACAAGAATGCTTCTACAAAAACAGATTACACAGATATAAGCTTAATAACACAATAATGTTAATTACAAGATATGAACAAAAGTTCCTTGTAATTTTACAAAACTATATTGAGTAAATCTCACAAGAGATTTTTATGTATTATTTTAGTATGAGTTTTGTATAGCATAATTCTTTTGTTATCTTCCTTGTGTGTGTCTTTCTTTTTCTTTGTATATTTTCACCATACATTACATTTTTGCTTGTCCACTCTCTTTCTCTTTCTTTGTATGTATCATCCATGTTTTTTTAGTTCTTCAAAGTCTTCTTTTTATAGTTGAAAGAATAAATTTGTTAAGGGGTAGAACGGGAAGTAGAAATCCAATTGTTATGTCTTTAACGGTCAATAAAGAAGTGTCAGACATCATCATATCATAAATCACTTTAGCAGGATAGTAGATAGTGTGCTTGTACTTTTATGATTATCCTTTCACTCAAGACATTTCTGATCTTTAACTTCAAATCTTCAGAGGCTTCTGATATATGTGTTGATGAAGCTTGTTACAGAAGGATCAGAAAACTTAGTCCTCAGGAACTACGTTAAGTAAGGTTATCTTCATAATTTTGATCTTTATAACTAATTTCTTTAGAGTATTCAGAACTATCATATCGATTATTCAGAGCTTGAATCTTCAGAATTATCATATTGATTCTTCAGAACTTGAATCTTCAGAATTATCATATTGATTCTTCAAAATTTTAGAATTATCATATCAAATCTTGATCAGAAGCTCTAATACTAAAGTTCTTTTAAAACCGTTGTATCAAAGGCATCTCAGAGTTCTGACTTGAGTTTTGTAATACTATATATATTCTTCTAGAATTTTTAATTCAGAGTCTGATAACAT